TGCAATTAGGTAATTTTAGACCAGTTTATTCCCGAACACGAATAGCGAACCACGTGATCAATGTGATTTCTTAGTTCAAAACAAACTATTTGATGCGCCAACACTATTTCTTCTACTAATCCATTGTCGAACCCATAATATATTTTTTAAAAGCTTCTTGCTTTTTTCTAAGATTTCTTTACGAAACATTTTGCAAAAAATAAGTACTCTTGTTTTGTTTGATTCATTTAACATTCTCGTTAAAAATTTAAAGAAAACAGCACTTTTTCTCGTGATCAGATCACTTTTAATACTAAACAATATTTAAATACATACAAAACTAAAAATATACAAGCATATATGTGACTAGTGCTCTTAAAACACGTGTTACGGAATTCACGTGTACACGTGAAATACGTGTTTATCCAAGTATAAATCCATTTTTATAATGATGAAAATTAGTAATTTTATGTTATGCATTTAAAGTTTTAATAAAATATTATTAGTACAGTTTTAAGTTAAGGTTATACGTTCTTATTTTGAATTTTACACGCGACACGTGACATGTGAATTCACGTGTATTTAGAGCTCTATATGTAAACATGCACTTGCGTATTATTATGCGTATTCTTGCATGATATATATTGCAAGCAAGTCTACAATGCAAGAAATTGCAACAAGACATTGTGGCATAAGAGGTTTTAACATAATATGTAAATTTATATTATAAATTTCATTGTAATATATTTTCTTTGTTGAACAAAGTGTATTAAATTATATTTTATTGTTTAATATGTATATAGATACGACTTAAATGTTATAAGTTACAAGTTATTAGTTAGAAGTTAAGTTTTGTTAAAAGTTAGTTAGTTTTATAAGTTATAGTTAGTTTAATTTTATAAGTTAGCACAAAATTATGAAATATTTTATATTTTCGTTCATATATATATTATAGTTGTGCCGTAACGCACTCATGTGAGCAAAGACGTTAACAAAAGATGACAAGTTCATGCATCAGCCGGAAAATCCTTTTGGCGAGAACTTGTTTAGCATGTGGTCGTCAAACCAGGTGACTGCCAAAGATACAATTTGTAACTGGTACAAAGAAGGGAAAAATTGCAATTACTTGAAAGAACCTAGAATTCTCAGATCAGGTAATGATCGCAGCGCACAATAAAGTATATATCCATTAAACGTTTCTGAAGTATCGCCGAGTATGTATAGTACCTATTATTTCATTATGCATGATAATGATTAGAAAGTCACCGTATAGATCGTTGTTAATATTGTTGTTCTACGGGAAGTACTTATAATATATTGTAGAAGTGTCTTGCACTAGAGTAAATTGTTATTGTTAAATGCACATATTACTTTTGCTTCAAAACGGCACTACAATCGCTTGACGTTGTTAATCCGAAAGTATGTTATAAACATGACAATATATAAAACTATTTCACTCAACATGTTATAAGTGATATATCAATTTATATTTGACTATAGATGTTGACGATTATTAAATGAGGATGATTATACAATTTATTATAAATTATGGCCTGTGGTGGGGTATCGAAAATGTTCCGGGTTGGCTATTGAAAGCAAATATATTATTAGTATTAAACAACCAAGATAATATACAATATGTTAGACGATTTTTTTTAATTGGATATAGACAGTATCAGAGGCGGACATTAAGTGGTTAAAATTTTAAGAACTATCGAACCTATTAACTTAAATATAACTTTAATTATCTAATTGGCTTTATAACTTAATTAATTTAATAATATAATATAATAGAATAACTTAATATTTTTCAGTTAATTTGAAAAATAATATGTAAAATTATAATTATATTTGCACTTTTACGTACCTATTTACAATTTGGAACCTATTTAAAATCAAATAATTAAATAACTATCAGTAGTGTGTACAAAGAGGGAATATGATGCATGTTATACAAAATATTTGATGAGCATTAGAAAAATTTAATATTGCACAATTCGTACATATGTGGCACACCTTAGTGGCAATATAAAAAATATATTTTTAATTGAATTATATACATTTGTTTTCCATACTAATTTTAAACTTATAAACTGAAATATGTTGTTGCTTAATTATTGACGTATATCTCAAAGTTCTTTATGTTTACTTAACTTAATTGTTTTCATTAATTTGCCCATCCATTGGGTAATACTATTAGTTTTCTAATTTATCGTTAGAATTAATTGATTAAATGGTTATGTGTAAATAGTACTGTGAGGCGAATATTGTGAATCATAACACAATCTATAATAATAACATATTTTCGGTTTTATCCAATTTTATAATCGAAGCACTTAAATGATTCTTATAATTCGTTTTGATTGCAGGATATTTCACCCAACTTGTGTGGAAGGTCATGAAATTCATGGATATAGCAATGATGAAAAGCAAGGCAGGATGAATTGTGATCGTTGCTAATTACAATCCACCTGGCAACATAATGGGACAGTTTATGGATAACGTTTTAAGCTTAGTTAAATTATTTATTTAATATCATACTTGTTTCATTCCTTTTGAAATTGAAATGTATATTTAATTTCTTTATAATTTATATACCATTTGCATATTACAAAAGTATTATTGTCTTTCATTAAAAAAAAAAAAACTTGTAATATCGATTATTGTTTTAATATAAAATCGATTGTTATACATCGTGTTTACGGATAAATCAGAATATTCAAACCAATTTTATAGCTATTATTTTTGCAAATTATTTTTTTTTTTTTTAGTTATAAATTAGAAAATAGTTTTAATATATTTATATTTTTGGTAAATATAATACTTGAAGATTTGTTTTGCCGTAAATTTGTCGTATTTTTATAGTTGTTGTTTTTGTTAAAATCATAATAAAAAATACTAAATTATAATTGATTGATTTATGTGGTTTAGTTGCTAAATATTAATGTATCATAAATGACATAGTCATTTTACTGATTTCAAAAAAATCAAAATGTAAAACAAAAAATCTCTGAGTTCGTTTATGTTTCATAAAAGTTTATACGAGTACAAGTAGATAATACTACGGGTGACGACTTACGAGCAATAGTTATTTTAATACTCTAGTTTAAATAGGTTTGTTAACTTTTCATTTTTAAAACTACGTTATATTACTACTGTTTGATGTAAAAAATAATTTCTCTTTTTTAAAGGTTAGTTCGTTTTAACGATTAGACATTCCCCGTATGGTTGTGGTAAAGGGGGGGAGGGGGGGGGCCCACCCCCCCCCCCCCCCCCGGTGTACTGTACCTCCAAAAAAATCATGCCCAGATAAAAAAAAAAGTCGTATGGTCTGTACTCAATGCAATACTGACAGTACCAATAGAATACAGTACAGTAGTATGATGTATGCATTTTTATTTTAATTATAAATGTACTTTTATTTTCTTGATACGCCTCTGGTTATACTTTTTGGTCTTGATTAAAAATTATTCCAATCGTTACGAATATTTGAACATGATTAATAAATATTTGTTCTTGTTTAAAAAAAAAAATAAATATATATTAATCTCACGATTTAATAAAAAGGTATGCCTTTTCGACCACCGAAGTCCAAACACGCCTATGTGGAGAATTTAGAAACGAGTTCGTTAAATTTGTTTTTGGAGACTTAGTTTGGAGTGAATATTAAGCAAGACTCAAAGCTATTGGTTAAAGAATCCAGTTTTTCTAAAATCAAAAACCACCTAGGCTACCTTCAAATTAGAGGTTTGGTTATCATTAGAGCTCGGATGATAATTATCAATTAATTATCATTAATGACCAGAATTTCATAAAAATATGCATTAAAAAATGTCAGAATATGCAATTATATGCCATAAAATGTAATTTCATTCAAAATGGTCATACGCTTCCGATGTTCTTTGTTGAAATTAATCCAAATACAAATGATAAAAAAATTCTTAATGAATCATCAATGTTGCACACAAAAATTTAAGTTGAATTACCCAATAAGACTTATTGTGATTTACTTCAGTGTTTAAACTGACATAGCTAAGGTCACAACGTTAACTATTAACATCACCATACCGGAAATTATGTTGACCCTTCATCCTTCATGCTGTGTTAAATGTGGGGGAAATCAGTCCTAAAACAGTTTCTTCAAAGAGAAAGGCAGTTCAACCAAGTGCGGCTTTTGCGCGAGTGATCATACTTCCAACTATAAAGTTTGTCCTAAACATAAATTACTTCTGAAACTCATAAAACAACCCACTTGTTATCATCAAAATAAAAATATTAGAATCACGTTTCCTCTTATCAAACTCCTTTCCAAAGCTTCTTGCACCTCTATCAGTGGTTCTAATAATATCCTATTACCTAATAGCCCTATAGACGATATACCGTTTTCCCAATTTATCTCAGGTTTTCTGGCATTAATAAATCTAATATTTTCCTTCTTTTGTTATTACAGCTCTTCTACGAAATCACCTTAATCTTTAGCCCAAATTTTTTTCTACCTTATTCATTTAAATTATCACGTCTTTAACCACTTGATATGTTATCCGTTACTTGTAAATTTTAATTGGTCAATCAAAATTAACTCTTATTTTATAATTAACTCAAATTATCATGTTTAACTAATATTATTTTATGATACTGATTATTGTAAATTAATTTTAAAATTCATACTTAGTTATCTTACTCAATGGTTTAATTTTTGAGCTATAATAACTTTGTGTTAAAAGATGAATAAAAAATAAAAAATAACATAACAATTATATAATGATGAATGATAATTTACACATTAAAGACACCATTATTATGATTTTAAATATTTTTCTATATGAATAGTAATAGTTAAGAAAATTTTTGTTGATTTATATCTAGAAAATGAATAAAATAATATCTTAATTTTTATTTTGTAAAATTTGTAGATAATTATAATACCTACCCATGACCGAAATTGGGACAGAAATAGCCATTTAGAGCAAGAAAAATGTAAGGAAGTATATATAAAAATTGGGAAAGAATATAATGAAGGAATGGAGATTTGTACTTCAAAAACCATTGACCTGATTTTACTAATCAGCGGCAATAGAGTTAATGTTGAACGAGCAAAACAAAAGATTATTGCAAGCGACCAAACTCAAGTAAATAAGTTTTAATTAAGTTGGAATTAATAAGATAAACTGGTAAAAATAATATTTATTATATATATATATATATATATATATATTATATTGTTGCGTACAAATTAATAATTATTTATTTATTTTTTTTTTAATATTGTAATACATAAATGTGCATAATAATGTACAATATTTGATAAATTATTTGTTGTTTTATAGTTTTTTTATGGATGAATAAATAAAAAAAGAATTTTTTTTTTTTTAGCAATTTTAACTAAAACATTAAAATTTCAGATTAAAACTACTACTACACAGTTTCCAAAAGAACATCGAAGTAAGTTATTGGGCAAACAAGGATTTAATTTTAGAACTATTGAAAAACGTACAGAAGCACGTGTTCAAATACCGTGTTTGAAAAATTTGTCTGACATAATTTATATTACTGGAAAAAAGGATTTCACGAAAAAAGTAGTTCAAGTATGTATCAAAAATATGTTTTAATGAATCGCAATTTTAGTTAAACACATTTAAGTAAATTAAGTAAATTAATATCCGCAAAGAATGGCTGGAATGAATAGGTTGGAGTAAAATTGACAAAACAGATAATGTCTACTTTTAAAATGGTTAGTTGTGACAAAACTAGTTTATTTATTTTATTAATTAAATTAAAATTAAATCTTTTAATAAATATTTGAAAATTTCAGGATTTCTAAATTAAAATGTCGATAATTTTTAAAATACTTTTTTAGTAAAAAATAAATTAATGTGGATTTTAATTTTGAATTTTGATATAACTCGATACAAATTCAATGAACATTTAATTTTAATATTATAGGTTTAAAAGTTTTTAAAAGATTTCTGATATATTTTTTATTTTTTAGAAAAAAATTTATAAGTATTATTTATTAACGAAATCGGGTATTTTAACAAATTTCCATCAAGTAGTTTCTTTCGTAATTTTATAATAATTAAAATTTTTGTTAGTAAATTAGAGGAAATTATATTTAAGTTAAAAAATAAAATTGAAAAAGAAATAACAATTGATCAAGGTCACCATAGAGCAAAAATTGGAGTTAAGGGTGAAAAGTTCGAGAACTTCAGAAATTATTTAATGTTCAAATTATGTTCCCCAGTCCAGGCAATTAATAGTATTAATAGTATTAATGTGTTTGTTTTTTTTTTTTTTGTATTTTGTTCGTTAATAAATAATATTTGGTTTGATATTTTAGTCGAGGCTAGAAATAATTTTGTTAAAATACGAGGTTTGAACGATGATATAAATAAAGCATTTAAATCATTAGCTGAGTTGGCCAAAGTATTAGATGAAATCAAATATGTTTTGGAAATTTCTATTTTTAAACAATTGCACAAACTTAGTTCTGGAAAGAGAGTAGTATTTATTAAAAAGGTAATTATTATTTATTAACTTTTGTAATTCTACCTTTAGAATTTTGTTATTTATATAATTTAGTATTCTAGAATAGAAAAGAGACTGATACGAGAATGTTTTTACCACGTGAATGAGATAATAGTGATGTTATTAAATTCATGGGAAATAAAAGAATAGTTTTAATCGCTTATGATATGATTCAAGAATCACAAAATGAAATATTTGGTTTTTTATAAAGAGGTATATTATATTTTTCAATTATATTATTAATTTATCAATCATGTATTTTTAGGGAGATATAATCACAAAGGAAATGTTGTTTGGGAAATGTTCAAGTTAGAAATGTCATTGTAAATCTTGGGAATAAATTAATTCAATCTATAAAAGAAGATTGTGGTGGTAATGTGACATTGAATTTACCAACTGTAAAATGAGATAATGTAAGAATATACTTATTTATTAAATTTATAAATTAAAATGACAATTTAACTAATTGTATAAGTTATTATATGCGTGATATACACTCAGACATCGATTTGAACTTACTCTCTGGCAGTTTCTTTGAGTAGGGGACTATTGTCTAAAGAGAAGAAACTGCTTCCCCTCCCGTAATACAATAAGGAGATTTTCAAGAAAATTCCCGGAATAATAAAATCTATTAAAAAAAAAAAGTAAACAGTTTTTTTTAAAGTTAAAATTTAATTCGTAGACTATAGTTATCAAAGGACCTGAAGATGATGTTAAAAATGTTATTACACAAATTCAGACAATGGTTGATGAAATTCATAAATATGTATCTGAATTGAAAGTAAATCCGAAGTTTCACAAATATTTAATTGGAAAAATTGGAATTAATGTTGAAAAGGTATGTTGTTAAAATAATTTAGTATAAGGGTACAATATGCTCATTAATGATTTTATACTGAAACTTATTCCACTAATGAAAATATAACTATTGTTGGTAAAAAAGAGAATGTTAAAAAAGCAGAAACAAAATTTGAAGTTATGATAACCGATATTGGTAATGTAATCGAAGAACATGTAGAAATCAATGAAAAATATAATTGCACTTTAGTGGTCAATCAAAAAGAATGTTTATACAAATTGGAAAAAGAATGTGGCAACGTTAAAATTGAATTTCCTAAACTTGGTGCTGCAGATAGAGTTGTAATCAGTGATAGCAAAACCGATGTTGCTCTTGCTAATCAAAGACTTTTAGACCATGCTAAAATTTTAGTATGTATAATTCAATTCAAATACACATGTATTAAACTAACCTGAATATTTTTTATTGAAATTGTATTGAGGTTATATTTACATAATTGTTCATAGTTTTCTTTACAATAATGAATTGTTGATATATAAGTCATATACAATGAAATAACTTAAGATAAGACATTTAAAATAATCATTGATGTACCTATATACAACTAAATAAGTTAACCATGTAATCAATTATAATCATATAAAACAATTTTGATTTAGGAAAATATATAAAATATATTAAAAATATATAAAATATATAAAATACTATTCAAGCTGTAGTAAATATTGATCCGAAGTATCATAATTACTTTGTTGCTAGACGTTGTGAAATTATCAATCGAATTATTAATGATTGCAATGAAGTGTCTATACAATTTCCGAAAATAGCTTCTAGTAATAATACTGTCATCATAAAAGGAGATAAAATAAATGTTGAAGAGGTGAAACGTAAGATCGAAGAAATTGTTAAAGACTTGGTTAGTATTTACTATACATATATTTTTATTTATAATTATTGGAATTATTAAATTAATAAAAAAAACCTATGACTAACAGTTATTACATAAAAAATAATTGAACATTTATTACCTTTTAATTTATTTAAATAATATTTATACGAGAATCATAATACAATAATAGTAATAATTATAATCTCGTAATACATTAAAATGTTATAGAAAAACATAATTGAAGGCACTATGAATGTTACTCCAAAATATCATCATCATTCTGTTGCCCACCACGCTGAAGTAATAAACCAGATAAATGGAAAACACAATGGAGTTACTGTTACATTTCCACGAGTTAATTCCAATTCTACTAAAGTTTTGATTAAAGGCCACAAGGATTATGTTGAAAAAGTCAAAAATGAAATCGATAATACATATTATTATTGACTTGGTAAGTTGTATACTAACACTCTAACACTTATTGTTTTATCGTTAAATTATTAATCAATAATCATGTTACACAGCGGCGTAGCAGTGGTTCAGTAGGTGCGACGCACCGAGGCCTTCGTGACTTGGGTCCCTCAATTCAAAATAAAACTGATATGAATAATAATAGAAGCTTGCGTTAACTACAACCAATTATTTGTTATTTGATTTTTGGTAGTAATAAATAATGAAAACATTTTTTTTTTTCAAAATCTCATCAATGTATTTTATTGTTAAATTAGTCAAAGTAATTAAATTAATACATTTAAATGTAAATGTAATGAAATAAAATATATTAAATACGATAAACTTAATATAAAAATTATTATATTAACAAATTTATTTTTAATTGTTGATTATGTTTTTTAGTATTAAGGGTTTGGCCCCGTCCATTTTAAAATCCTGGCTATGCTACTGATAGATAAAATTCTTTATTACATAATGTGAACTAAACTATAATCATAAATATTTTTATTCCATATTAATTGATGTAAAACAAATAGAGGATTATTATTAAAGAGTTCTAATAGGGTTTTTAAATTACTTAAATACATTAGGAATTTGTTAATCAAACTGACTATCTTACTTCTATTTTATCTGGTTTATCTGTAAAAATAATAATCTTAGCCATGAATGATTGTTATAATTTCAATATTCTACAAAATATGACGTGTTCTAATAATTCATTTTACGAAATCATAGATTATATTTAGTAATAGGTAATAGTTATGTGTAAAAATATTTATAAATATAACTATATCATGTTGCTAAAGCAAAAACTTCAAATATTGTTAATAAACGACATCAATTAACTAAATTAGTTGTATTTTATAATTTGTGATAGGTACTGTATGTTTTAATTTTAAACTAATATGTTAAAAATATTTATGTCGTGAAAAATACAATATTTGTTTTTTTTCTTTTAATTATATTTAACTTTTATATCTTCTCTTTTACTTCAATTTTATTTACTGAAGAAATAGAAAGAATAATAACCAGTAAGTATTTAATATTTTTTTTGCTGATCGAAAACATGGTGGATGTATGATAAGAGCACACCAGATTTCATCATTCTCGATGATAAATTCGGTGAGTAGTTTATCAAGTTTGTATAGAAGTCTGTGTATTAAAGTTACGTAATATTATTATTTTACCCGTTCACCGTCGAACAACTTACGATAACGGGTCTTCGTGTATTCTTTGAAAATAAAAACACGACGGAGAATAGCAATAGGTTTCTCTGCAGGAAACATGCAAGAACAACGAGAAATATCTCAGTTTTTTAAAAATGTGCAAAATATCTACAACTGTTTTGTGGATTGAACCTTGTACGATAAGAAAAGTTGAATGTTTTTTCAGAATCTATGTCAGATATCACTTTGAAAACACTCAATCCTACATGTTGTGCAGGCATAGATAGGTATGGTTTATACCCTTAGAGAAAGATTTAGTGATGTATTTAAAGCTATGTCTTACATAACTTTGATTAGTAAAAAAATAGTTATTGATGTTGTACGCGATCTACCAAACTTGTTTTTAAGTAGTGAGCGATCTACCCAAATCTATCAATAATAGAATTTAATTTCCGTATTATTTTCATCTTTAATATTATTATTAGTTTTGAAAGGTATGTACAAATATTACACAAGAATTATTTTTATAAAATACCTTATACTAAAAATGTTATTTTCATATCTGAAAGAAATCATTAAATATTGTATCTATGATACATATAAAAACATAACAAATTTTGAATTATCTGTTGTTGACATGGCTCTTCGATTTTCCAAATCTTGTTCTAGTTTTTAGAATTATTTATAAAATTGTAAAACTCAAAGGCATTTTGTTGATTTACCGAATTAAATAGATAATAGATTAACAAGCTGTAAATGGTATGAATATGGGAAACATTTTATATTCTGATAAAACGTCGGTGGACTTAGCATTCTTTTTAGCACTTTACATAGCATCAGAGATGAAAGAATTTAAAATGAAAGAAAAATTTGCCAAAATATAATTTTAACTAAAAGAGTATAAAATATTAGGTACAACTTATGTAATAAAAAAGGCTTAGTAATTCAGGAAGAGGAAAATATAATTTTGGTGGATTAAAGCCTCTAATTCTATGGTATGTACAATATATATGTGATTTAACTGATTATTTATGCGGAATCAGTTTTTCACTTTTGCTTATTTTATGATAATAGGTCTCCAAAGTATCAAAAACATATTTGTATTCATATTAAAGTTGATATGTTAACAATCATTATCTCTCTAAACATTATAATTTTGATTTGTCTATTAATTGCAATTAGGCCATTCACTGTACACGTTATTAACATTAATTATTAATTTTATTTGAAATTTCTGCCTTACCTAACCAAATGTATAGCTACATTTGTTCATTATGTTATTAATATATGGGGCATGGTGCAAGAAGAGTCAATGTCATATATTACGTAAATGAGATTAATGGGTAAATAATATTATAAATAAATATAAAATGAGTCTTACAATAAAAAAATGTAAAAAAAAAAATACAGTAAAGTAACATAATTTTTTTGAGTTTTTACGTAAAAATGAAAAAAGCTTTGTATACATTAAACATTGATTAATTTAATGCTTTTATTCCTTAATTTTGTCATAATATGGCATTAATCCTTCTTGCATTAAGCTACAAATATATATTAATATATATTATACACCATGAAAATTTGACGTCTCGAAATTAAATTTATTCATATAATTTGTTTGTTAAAAATATGGTTCTTGTAGTAAGAATAATATTATAAGTGTCATTATTTTCAGTAACTAATGCATTAGTCAATGAAATAGTATATTTATTTATTATTCTTATTATTCTTTGGTAAAATGTGATCATAGATTTTTGTTATTTAATACATTATTTAATGAGTATTATAAACTTAGTCAATTTCGGGTTTCTCTTCTGCATAAAAAAGCTATCCCATGAGATTTGATAAGTAATATACTTAAAAATTAATCCTCCGATTGGTGGATATTTCATCTGATTTTACATCTAGTTCAGTTCAAATATAATACCAAAGTTCCTTTGTTTAATTCCATATTCATAAACATTATACGTTGTCCTAGCTCATCAATTGAAAACGTTAATTATTTATATTATTGATATATATAAAATTGTAAATAAGTTTACATTTTGTATATTGATAAAGAAAATATATGGCCTAGTAACTGTTTTTATTTGCGTATCTTTACATTTCGTTTCAAATATACTTAGGTACATTTAAAAGCTATATAAGTTTTGTGAAATATTTTTATGGCTATGATAGTATTTAAATTTTGAGCGTTAAGATTTATACGAGTATAAAAATCATATTTCATTGTGTTTTATTTTTCATTTAATGTTTTAACGTTCAATGTATATTTTTGATTTAAGACTTATTAAAAAAAAAAAAGTGAATTTATTCATCTAAATTTCAGAGTTAATTTTCGATAGTATTATTATTATAATCGCTTCTTAGATTTTATTTTAAATTAAATTATATCTTGGAAAATTTATTGATCTTAAGTTGTTAATTATTAGGTAATTAAATATAATAAAAAAAAACAAAAAAAAAAAAAAAATGGAAAATATTAATAATAATGAAAACTATCAATTTAAAAACCAGAAGAAAATGGTAGCATTAAAAACCGAAGACGCTTTACGAGTGTAACAGGGTTGACATTTTGTTTTCAATTTTTTTTAATAAAAGAGTGAATAATTAATGAAAATAATGTCAATTTAGTACAAGGGAAAGTTGGTCAAAAGATAAGGGTATTATAATATACGGCTGTATTCGTGCGGGACCTCGTCCCTTCGCTGTTCGCAAATGGTTAAACCCATAAATAAAAAATATAAAATAAAAACACGCATGCGAAAAAAAAACCAACAAAATTAATTAAAAAAAAAAAAGAAAATTAAATGAGTTAAACAACAAATGTATGTTTCCGGACTAATTAGGTGACCCCACAAAAGAATTATCGTTTGTGTTGTGTTATCTGCTCATTATATGCGACACACGTCGTATTTCACGTACATATAATAGTGCACATTATATATTGTAATACGTAAGTGTTTGTACTTGGAAAATCAGTACATTTGTGACTATAAAGTTTTGACGAAACATTGTAATATTACTAATTGAGTACATTTCTGTATGGATTAACATTCGTATGTTGTTTATTGGCTTGGACGTTATTTCTTACGCTCCAGAATGCTGTATTGTTCCAAACATAATCTCGACGAAAAACCGTCTGGTACGCATTTTAAAATGTTTACCTGTATTTAGAAGAAGAAAAAAATGTTTATTTTATTCAAGTATCAAGTTGCTGAATAAAATCGAAAACCAACTTACGATTAAGATATATACTAGGAGGCGTTTCGCATTTACTTAGTCAGTAAATATATTGTCTACACTTGAATGGTTATCGAAATGTTCATAAAATGTTTAAAAACCTCGTCGACATCCTCGTGTTGAATTATTCCGCAAAAATAGTGTAATGATAATATATTTAAAACTATGTGCAGCGTAAAGTGCTAACGATTACTTTCGTGGCCGATGCGCGTTCGGAACGATTCGAAACTCGTTGAAAACGAAAGTTTGGTAAACCGTAGTCTCGAAAGTCGTTCGGTCGCACGAGAATCATCGCCTTGCGGACGAACTCTTCGAAATACGAAATATATACAAAATACATGATTCGCAACGGGACCAAAACAGTCATCACACGGTTTTCGCGTTGTTCGATATCCGTTTTAAAACAACGCTTCGGCGTGCTGGGCGTGCGCGTTTTGCACGCAAATGCGTTTGAAACGTTCGTAAAACGTTTGACGGGCCGAAGAGCGTCCGATGTATTCTCGTTTTTATTTCTTCCAGAATCCCATTCCCATTCATTCCGAGGGCAGTGTGATGCGCGTCCACGATCATCATCACATCGTCGTC